AGTGCTGCTTAAAAGCAACAACGTATTTTTGGAGAAAAATTTTTGAAGCTTAATTTTCTGTTTCGTAAGGTACGTAATTGAAGAGCTTTCGTACCATCGGTCTGACGCAGCTGTGCAAGCGTCCAACGGCCAACACGTTTTGGTTGTCCTTGGCCCGCAACCCGAGTCTCCATTGTTGCGTGTGGCTGCACCTCATCTGAATTGGATACATTTAGTAATATAAAAGAAAATATGGCAAAATTTTGTGCTTTTGTACTGATATTAAAAGTATGGCTACAAATCACTTAAAGAATTACCTCACCGGACAGGAAAAGAAAACTAAGTTGAACGTTAAGAAAAACAAAAATTCCAATAGTATATTTGTTGAGGTAAAAAAAATTTTTTTGTTGTAAATTGAGATTTATTTTCTTTTTTACTTACAGTAATTGCTTATGCCAATTTTTTGTGGAATAAAATTAACTGAAATAGCAATACGGTTTATACTGTCCATTAGAGGAGAATTTTGTACGTAAAAGTGGTAACGTGTGGCAATGCAGTGATTTTTGGAATATTAATGTAAACTAGTTTGTGTAAATGAAATTTGAACACCATTGCTAACGCGGCTATGTGGATTATAAAGGGCTTTGGTCTTTTTTTTTTATTGTTGTTTCAAACGGCTTTGTTGGCATAATGAAAATTTCTGACATTCCTCTTTCTCTCAATAAAATTTTCCTACATAGTATATTCGGTACTTCCAGTCTCTATGAGTGTTTGCAAATGAATTCATCCAAAAAAAGCCTTTTTCAATGTTTGAGCTAAAGAGGTATCTATTCAAGGCTTACCCATAAGCCATTCGCTACAGGAGCTGCTTAGAGTACTTCCAATAAATAGTAAAGCTAAGATTTTAAAACAAAATTACTGTTACTAAAAAAAAGTGATTCACGGATTTGATTTTGCAAAAAACTGATCTATCAAATTTTATGGTGGAAAAAGATAACGTTCGAAAGTCTTCACCAATGCCTGTTTTTTTTCCCAGCTGTAACGCAACATGAGAACTATCTAGTGGAACTTTATTATGTTGCGATTCGCTGAAGTTTACTGAAACTGCAGGTACAGTGATATCTGATTTTGATGGAACGGTTCGAGCGGGAGGCACAGGTGGAATCTTTTTTCCCAATGCTGGTTCTTCGCCAAATTTTGAAGCCCTTGAATGAATCAACTCTGGGTAATTTCCATAAGTCGTGCTATTTGGAACAGTTGGAGAAGCAACAAGATTTGCGTATTTTGGAAGGTTTGAATTTGGTGACATCAGAATTTTTTTCGCAAAAGTTGGTGCATTCGACCCACTGTGTTGCGGTGCTCCACGTGTTTCTACTTTTAAATTGTTACTGTTAGCAATATCACTTGAAATAAAAGCAGTTTTTTCTGTCCCTCTGTCATCCGTTGTGCGTGGGGTCATATCCTGCGATAGATTGCCAGCTCTCGAATAGGGCTGAGTTGGTGTTTGCTTTGTTAATAATGGTTCATTGTTCTGCGAGGGACTTTGCTTGCGCGATGTCTCTTCGTGCTGAACAGGAATTGGTCGACTAGGTCCGTATCTTCTGATTGCATCTTCCTGCCGTGGTGAAACAGAATAGTTTGGAGAAATTGAATGACTTGGCGGGTAGTAATAAGCAGGGAAGTTTGGGATGCTGCTTGGATCGCTAATCCTGATTGGTGAATGTAACTTTGGCTTACTAAAGTCCGTTTTAATTGGACCAGAGTTCACAACTGTATATCGTTGTTCTTGTCGTTCGACAGTTTCGCTTTGGTGAAATATTCGGCTGTAACTTGGCATTTTTGACGTTCTTAGTTGTTACGTTGTCAAGAGAAAAAAAAGTTCAGCAAGACAATGAAAATGTTAAAAAAGAAGTCGTTTAACTAGCTCCAATATCTTTCAATAACTCTGTACGAGCAGTAAGCACACCGGTTAATACAGAAACATTCGTATTCAAAAGTACCGCTATATAAGGGCTGAATCTTTGAGTAGAAGGACAGCTAGTCGTTGAAACTTTTTTTCTTGCAGTTGTCAGCCACAACAGAGGTAAAGCAGAAACAAAAAAGGAGGTGAGCAGTAAGGTAGAAAGAACGTGGAGTCGCAATCTACTCACCAGCAGACTCTGAGGTATAAGATGTGAATGTTACCAACCGGTGCATGCAGAGTTCAATGTGTCTCTTACAGCTTTAACGTCAATTCCTTTTGCTTAGGCCTCAGTCCCATCGTTTGTCTCTCTCATATGTGCAAACATCACCAGTTTTTTTTACTTCACCTCGCAGTTCAATAAATAAATTTGAGAATACGCCTCTACAAAGCTCATGCTTCACTTAGAACGCATCTTTTTTGTTCATCAAATAATTAAAAAAGCATCTTTAAACACTTAACAAGTTAGATACTTCTGTTATTTTCTCAAGTGTTGATCATCAGCTTGATCAGTTTAATAACGAAACGTGAACGTAAACTAAAATACTCAAGCTTTTTGATGGTGTACAGCTGCTAGCTGGCTCTTAGATATTATATTAAAGTGCACTTTGTTAACACCTATGAAAAACACAGTCTAATAGTCGTTTAATAGTAGTCTCATAATATTAAAAGTGTTTCTGCTGGGCTCCTTTGATAGAAAACCGCTCAAAATTATTCGCTTTTTTGCCAATTTAAACTGCAATTTTTTTTTGTTTTTCCTCAAGCTACGCGTTTGAATTGTGAGTGATGGGAGTTAAAAGAGTATGCCTTGATACTTCTGCAACATCATTTTCCAGTGACAAAATTTCTGCTACCTTGCGAAAAACAGTGGTGTGACTGCCATAGCGAAACTTAGATGAAAGCAATATTATTTTTTGCTTTCATGCTTAACTAGAAAACGATCTTATTTTTTGTTATTTGTCTCAAATAATTAAAGCAACTAAACCAATCTTTTTGATTTCATTTTCTTGTACTACTTTCTTTAAACGTAGGTCAAATGTATGTTAAGTGACAATATTCAGTACTTTTCTGTGATAATAAGATTGTGAGTTAAACTATAAAGTTTAATTGATTTCAAATTGATGTTCTTTCTGCAAAGATATTCAATGACAGAGCTTAAAAAAACAACGGTAATTAGCAGCAGCGAACTATTGCATATAGTTGCAAAAAAATATTTTTGATCTCTAATTTTACCGTCTCACCGATACAATGTTATTGAAATACTAATTAAACAAAAAACTCCTTACCAACATATCTTCTCTGCGTTAAACGTTTTCACATATTTCTGAGAGAATTAGAAAAAAAAAATAAACTAAACCAGCTTAATCAAGAGAATGTGATGCTTTGTGACTGTAGCGAAGGCACAGCGAAAAAAAAAAGAGCGAAACAAAAGAAAAAAGTTGTAACTTCTGGTCCAGTTCTTTCTTTTTGTTGTTTCAACATCAAACCAATACAGACAGACGAAATTTTTACAAATGTTGTCCAAGGGATAACCTAAGTGATTTATGCTTAATAATATTTGACAACTGTTTTTTTGTTCTTTCTATTCTGCTTTATTTTTTTTTTGGCTTAAAAAGAATTCTATATTATTTTAGTTTTTTTCATCTTTTTTTTGAGTAAAAGATATTAAGTTGTTCACTATAATAACAAAAATAGTGAAAATGATTTTGAATTTGCAGTACTAGTTGGTTGTCTATTTAGTTGACTATGATTGTTGTTTAAAAAGGCTGGAGACTTTGTTCGGGAATGTTGGCGAACTAAAGAAATAAATACAAATCTCAGAGGAATGTTTGCTGTAGACAAAAGGGAAGCCAACAAAACAAGCGCAATTGCTGTAAACTGGCATCTTAATGTATCATATAGCGTTTGCACTGCTGTATCTTTCTCGACTTCCCATCGTTCTTTCTTAACAAAATACGTAAACTACACACTGACTAACACAGACACACAGATACACGATACACAGGCACACATACACACACAGATACTCACAGACGTATATATATAT